TTCAGCACTGCCACAGCACAGGCTCTGCCTGACAGAGGCCGCTCCCACAGCTCAAAGTTGTTGTCCTGCCAAGAAGAAAAAGCCAGGATGTGCATCAGGGCAGGCAGAATTCATGGTCGTTATGCCCGTCTGCTTAAGCAGGCTTCAGGAACGAATGGGCTCATTGGACTTGCATTCCCAAATCCTGGGCTCTCCTCTGTGCGTACCCCATTTGTCCCCAGTGTCCTCCCCCTAAGGAGGTAGCTTCCCATGGCCCAGACAGCACCCCTAGCCCCAGGCCCTGCTGCCCTGCTGTACCTTGGTGATGCGGTATCCCTGCTTGCCCAGTGGGTCCTGGTTGATGGCAATCACCTCTTTGTTCTGGAGCAACCACTTGGCCTCAGGGCTAATGTTCCGCAGGTCATTGGACATGAAGAGGGGAGCGGCCATGATAGCCCACATTGCCATCTGAGTCACTGCCTGGTCCCAGCTCAGCCCAAAGTTTCCAATCACTAGCTGTAAACACACAAGAACGCCTGGTAACAGTGCCTGCCAAGGAGAAACTGAGTCACCGAGGTGAATACTGAGAAATGACAGGATGCTGAGGGTGGGACCCCCCTGTTACTCTGGGGCCCGGTTAGATAGGCCCTGCTCTGGCAGCAAGACCAGCTGGCTGGGAAAGGTGAGACAGATGACTAAAGTGACAGTTTAGGATGACCCCATGGTGCAAGTAAAGAAGGATCCTTATCTGGTTAGGCAAGGTCTGGCTCTGGAGGTAGGTCAGCGCTTCTGAGAGTTGCTCCCAGGGTCGTGCGTGTGTTTTGGCTTAGCGCTGCCTGTAAAGGCTATGTTTACACAGAGAGTGCTTTCTTGGTACTGTGGGTAACTGTCCCAATGCCATGTGCTTAGAAGATGCTGTTCTGCTGCAGTGCTCTTTACCTTCCCAGCCAGGTGTCCCTTTCATGAAGTTCTTGATCCCAGGACCCCATCACAGCCTTTGCCCTCACTGTTTCTCCTCTGAGTCTCTTTTTCCCCATCCCAGCTGGATAAAGGCTTTTCTGCTGGTGCTGCAAGAGAGATTGGTGTTGCTGTACTTGCCATGTCAGGATCATTCCAGCCCCCTGGCCCAGCTATCTTCACGATGCTGTCCTGGTGAATTGCTGTCCAGTCCAAGATACTCTTGATGCTGCTCCAAGAATCATAGACATCAAAAAAGTTCCTCCAGTGATTGCAGTACTGCTTGATCTCGGTGTAATTGGGCTGCCAAAACAATTAGTGCACTTAGCCAGAGAGCTTGGCTGTACAAGAACAAGACTGCATGCAAAGCTAGACTGGATTAGGCATATTCTGGGGAGAACTGTAGCAGTCTCTTCTGTCACCAGCTATCTGTGACGCTGGTCACGCTGGTTCCCTAAAACATGTTTTGCACTGAGTGATGCCAGTCTTGTCATGCACCAGACAATCAGTGCTATTCCAATTGCTTCCGTTGGGAGACTAGCTGGGGCCACCTACCTCTGTCAGAAAATCCTCCTGGACCCTATTTAATTGAAGGTGTAATGAGGCCAGTGGGATGAAACTCTTACATCCTAGTAAATTACTGTTATTTCTTGGGTGGACACCCTGCACTGATTAACGCACTAAACTCTCTGTGGGAGGGAGTGGCTGCATCATGCATGAAAATGTGAGCAACATGTCAATCACGGACCCTAGCTGGCGGACGTTTGTTGGTAAACAGTACAGAGAACTCCTATATATACTCTTCTGTGTGTTTAATAGGCTGTTCTAAAGTCTCCTGAGTCTGCAGCACTATGTACAACTGAGCCTCCTGAAGGAATAAGGCTGAGCTATCAGCTAGCTGGTGTGTCTTGTTGCTCAGTTCTTCGGAGACAGAAAGCAGACGGCTGCTGCTGGCCTCTTTAGCATGCTCCAGCTGGGCTGTGCCTTCAGCAGCGGTCATGCTGTAGGATCCTGCTAAATCCCTGAGGAGGTCATTCCTTTTCAGCAGAGCACTAACTCATCTCAAGGCTACTTCAGGGCTCTGGAGGAAAAGTGTGGTTTTCTTCCACCTTGCACTCACCTCCGTTGTCAGACCAGAGAGCAGCAAAAAATTCTCCGGAGGCTATTTTGCAGTCTTAATGCTTTTCCTTGAACTGTTCTTCCCACTTCATGCACTGCTAGCCCCAGGATGAGCCCTGAGAAACGCTGCTTACCTGCTGCACAGGCCTCAAATAGAAAGGCCATTCACAGGAGTACACAATGCTTCTTCCAGTCTTGTTCAGGGCCAGAGACATGTTCCTATAACCTAAAGGAACAGGACAGGCAGGGGTTACACAAGCTGCCTGAGCAGAGAGAGGAACGGATCCAATGTCACAAGTTTGGGTTTCAGTTCAACGTTTGCAAAGTCAAGGCTCAGCATATGCTAGTGGCTGAAACACCCAAGGGAAGACGGGGGAGTTCATAATCTGCTGCCAGTCTCCTGCCTCTCGAGTAAAGGCAAGCTCCTTTTTGGCTTTGCTGCGGGTCATGGGCAGTGTTCTTGCTCTGAGCCTGCTGATGTCCCTGCACATACTGCTACGGGTTGAGGCTGCAGTTTTGCTGTGTGGCATTTTTTCCTCTGGATACCTGTCAAATACAAGTTGCTATTTATTAAGCTGCTGGGGACAGCTTTGGTGGTTAATGTTGCATATATCCTTACGAGACATTTGTGCCATACGGACTGGGCATGAATGCAAAAGTGATAGCTTTATCCTATCCTTGTCCCCAGAGAGCCCGTTAAGTCCCTTTAAATCAGCACAGAGAGAATGAAGACTTTGCTGTCTCTCCTCGAGCTGCTTCGATAAAACTGGACTGTATCTAGCTTACAGATACGCTCTACCGAGAGCTTTCAGCTGAACTGTCGCTTCAGGTGCTGTCTGAGCTGTGCTCCTGGCCACAACAGCCAGCATGTGCCAGACCAACTGGCTTTGATGGGATTGTCACTTGGGCAGGTTGTTTCTGCCAGAGAGGCAGGACTGTGTCTGCAGGTTTCCTGCTGCCAAAGCCTGTGGTGCTGACTGTGCCAGCAGGGACAGCCCAGCAAAGAGAAAACCATCTTCTGAGTTGCGTGATTCTTGGCATAACTCTGCTCAGGTGGCATTGGGATTTGCTTGTACTCAGAGACCCGCCCCCCCCCCCCCCAACCCCGCCCCAGCACAGCAAGGAACTGAGCTTTCAGCTTCCGATTTGCCAGCCTGCATGTAAATGAGTTCTGAATTGGCATTTGCACTGGCACGCTTTAAAATGAAAATCCCGATAGGTTTTTCATGCCAGAATTCTCTCGATTTCTGTCTGTTAAAAGCCCTGATAACTGCCCTTTTTATGGCTGATGCAAGCTGTTTTGGCTTAAAGCTGATCCATTATGACATTGCCTTCCCATAGGGATTAAGGGATAACTGTGTGAAATGCTTTGAGCTCTCCAATAAAGGCACTCCAGAAGGGCAAAGCCGTTGCTGTTCTAAGAGCTGATGCAGCAGTCCGCACAGCGATCCCCAGGAGTATGCAGTCGTGTTTCTTTGCTCAGTGTGATGCAGCCCCTGGTAGGAAAAGGCTGCTTTTTCCAGCCGTACAGGCAAGTGAAAGCCCCAGGAGGCAGTAGGGGGAAAGCTGAATGCATAGATAGAAGCCACTTAGGCTAGCAATAGTTGCTACCTTGGAGAGAGCTACCTTGGGCTTGGGAACACAACCTTATAACTGCTTTTGTAAGCAAATACCTTAATGACTATAGTCAGGGAAGAGCAGCTCCCTGGAACCTGCCCCTCGCTGGAGTTCCTGCTGACTGCCGACTGTTCCCAGCTTTCCACACAGCACGGTCTCAAGTCAGTACACACCTTCTGCCAGCAGCTCGAGCGTGCCAGAGTTGCAGCCGTCAAACTTGAGCAGGTCCACACCCCAGGAGGCGAAGGTTTGGGCATCCAGCTCGTAGTGATTGTAACTGCCGGGGAAGCCAGCACAAGTCTTGTTCCCGACATCGCTGTAAATTCCTAGCTTCAGCCCTTTGGAGTGGACCTGAGCTTGCAGATGGAGAGAGAACTGGAGATTAAGTAGCCACGAGGCAGGAAGAAGCAGAGTTGAGACAGCAAGAGAAACAAACAGCCCACTTCAAGAAGCAGGGCCTTAACTCAGCAGCTATGTAGCAGACTCCCACAGAGCCATCCCTCTCCTTCCCCTGCTCCCCCAAGATGAGATCAGCGTGACTGCTCGTCAGATCCCCATCTGCTGTCATTGCCCTGACAACTGGCATGGTTCAAAGCGGCGTATAAACAAGGACCAAACTTTCTCTCCTTCCACAAAGGTTGTAATCCCCTTTACCATTAGCTCAGAAAATTCTTACAGATAAAAGGTTAGCCACCAGTTCCCTAATCTTATTCGCAGACTAAGCTTGGTGTAAGCCGTTGGCAGATGCGGTGTTTACAACTTTCCGAGCAGCTTTCTGCCTAGCAGCATCCTCAGCTGCAGTGGATTGGCACTCACGTAGTCTGCCAGCTTGCGGATCCCACTGGGGAAGCGCTCGGGGTCAGGCTGGAGCCTGCCGCGTTCGTCCCGCGTCGGAGCCATCCAGCAGTCGTCGATGCAGACGAACTCGTAGCCTACGGCCTTCCAGCCTTCCGAAGCCATCGCGTCAGCCATGTCCATGAACAGCTGCTCGCTGGGGGCACCGAGGCACCGTCCCCGTGCGCGCCAGGTACCGACGCAGCCAGGGAACAAAACAGAGACGGCGGCGGCTTGTTTTCTAGCGCTGACGTTACAACCGCCCTGCGTTTCCTCGCTGCGGCGTCTCCGCCGGGGCACGGCTTTCAGGCGGGCGCCTCGGCGTCGGCCAGAGGTTGCTCGCCGCGCTCTTGCGGGCGTGTCACGGGGG